CAATGTCAGTGAATGATGCATCAATGCATTAAAACAAAAATTTCATATTTTTTAATTTATCTTGAAATATGTGGGTTAACCCCTACAAAAATACTGATTTTTCCAATAAATACCATCTAAACTATTTAGATTCTTTAGTGTTGTTTTAAAAATACCTAACCACATTCAAAATTTATAAATATGTGCGCTAAATTTATGTTCATGGCAAATGGACATCACTTCTAATTATAAAGACTAAATTACTAAACTTCATATACCACCTAATAAATGGACTAGACCTTATAAAAATATCAATTTTATGAAGACATGGGAATATCTAAATTTTCAAACCTCATTAATATTCATATTATATTAGTGCATGATGAAAAAATGCATTAATACAAAAAAAAAATCATATTTTTAATTTATCTTGAAATATGTGGGTTAACCGCTATGAAAAGTACTGATTTTCCAATAAGTACTATCAATGCTATTTAGGTTCTTTAATGTTGTTTTAAAATTACCTAACAACATTCCAATTTTATTTATATGTGTTCTAAACTTATTTTCATCGCAAGGGCATCACTTCTGATTATCAAATGACTAATTTATTTAAACTTCATATATAACCTAATAAGTAGACTAGACACTATAAAAATCTCAATTTTATGAAGAAATGGGAATATCTAAGGTCTCAAACCTCTTTAATATTCATGTTGTGTCAATGCATGATGCATCAATGCATGAAAACAAAAATTTCATATTTTCTAATTTTTCTTGATATATGTGGGTTAACCCCTACGAAAATATTGATTTTTCCAATAAATACCATCTACACTATTTAGGTTCTTTAGTGTTGTTTTAAAAATACCTAACCACATTCCTAATTTATATATATTTTTGCTAAACTTATTTTCATGGAAAACAGGCCTCACTTCTAATTATCAAATGAATAATTTATTTAAACTCCATATACCACCTATTAAGTGGACAAAACCCTATAAAAATCTCAATTTCTGAAGAAATGAGGATATCGAAGGTCTCAAACCTCTTTAATATCCATACAATATCAGTGAATGATGCATCAATGCAATAAAACAAAAATTTCATATTTTTAATATATCTTGAAATATGTGGGTTAACCCCTACAAAAATACTGATTTTTCCAATAAATACCATCTAAACTATTTAGGTTCTTTAGTGTTGTTTTAAAAATACCTAACCACATTCAAAATTTATAAATATGTGTGCTAAAGTTTTTTTCATGGAAAATGGGATTCACTTCTACTTATAAAATGACTAAATTACTAAACTTCATATACCACCTAATAAATGGACTAGACCTTATAAAAATATCAATTTTACGAAGAAATGAGAATATCTAAATACTCAAACCTCATTAATATTCATATTATGTCAGTGCATTATGCAACAATGCATTAAAACAAAAAAATCATATTTTAAATTTATCTTGAAATATGTGGGTTAACCCCTACGAAAGTACTGATTTTCCAATAAGTACTATCTATGCTATTTAGGTTCTTTAATGTTTTTTTTAAAATACCTAACCACATTCCAATTTTATATGTATATATATGTGTTCTAAAATTATTTTCATGGCAAATGGGAATCACTTCTAATTATCAAATGGCTAATTTATTTAAACTTCATATACCACCTAATGAATGGAGTAAACCCTATAAAGATCTCAATTTTATGAAGAAATGGGAATATCTAAATTTTCAAATTAATCTCTTTAATATTCATACTATGTCAGAGCATGATGCATCAATGCATTAAAACAATTTTTTGTATTTTCTAATTTATTTTGATATATGTGGGTTAACCCCTACGAAAATTTTGATTTTTCCAAAAAAATCAAAATCTACACTATTTAGGTTCTTTAGTGTTGTTTTAAAAATACCTAACCACATTCCTAATCTATATATATTTGTGCTAAACTTATGTTCATGGAAAACAGGCCTCACTTCTAATTATCAAATGAATAATTTATTTAAACTGCATATACCTCATATTAAGTGGACTAAACCCTATATAAATCTCAATTTTTGAAGAAATGAGGATATCTAAGGTCTCAAACATCTTTAATAGTCATAGAATGTCAGTGAATGATGCATCAATGCATCAAAACAAAATTTTCACATATTTTTAATTTATCTTGAAATATGTGGGTTAACCCCTACAAAAATATTGATTTTTCCAATAAATACCATCTAAACTATTTAGGTTCTTTAGTGTTGTTTTAAAAATACCTAACCACATTCAAAATTTATAAATATGTGTGCTAAAGTTATTTTCATGGCAAATGGGCATCACTTCTAACTATAAAATGACTAAATTACTAAACTTCNATTTATCTTGAAATATGTGGGTTAACCCCTACAAAAATATTGATTTTTCCAATAAATACCATCTAAACTATTTAGGTTCTTTAGTGTTGTTTTAAAAATACCTAACCACATTCAAAATTTATAAATATGTGTGCTAAAGTTATTTTCATGGCAAATGGGCATCACTTCTAACTATAAAATGACTAAATTACTAAACTTCATATACCACTTGATAAATGGACTAGACCTTATAAAAATATCAATTTTAAGAAGAAATGGGAATATCTAAATTTTCAAACCTCTTTAATATTCATACTATGTCAGTGTATGATGCAACAATGCATTAAAACAAAAAATTTATATTTTTTAATTTATCTTGAAATATGTGGGTTAACCGCTACGAAAATACTGATTTTCCAATAAGTACTATCTATGATATTTAGGTTCTTTAATGTTGTTTTAAATATACCTAACCACATTCCAATTTTATATATATATATATATATATATATATATATATATATATATATATATGTGTTCTAAACTTATTTTCATGGCAAATGGGCATTACTTATAATTATGAAATAACTAATTTATTTAAACTTCATATATAACCTAATAAGTAGATTAGACCCTATAAAAATCTCAATTTTATGAATAAATGGGATTATCTAAGGTCTCAAACCTCTTTAATATTCATACTATGCCAGTGCATGATGCATCAATGCATTAAAACAATTTTTTATTTTTTTTTATTTATCTTGAAATATGTGGGTTAACCCCTACGAAAATATTGATTTTTCCAAAAAATACCATCTAAACTATTTAGGTTCTTTAGTGTTGTTTTAAAAATACCTAACCACATTCCAAATTTATATATATGTGTGCTAAACTTATTTTCATGGAAAACAGGCCTCACTTCTAATTATCAAATGAATAATTTATTTAAACTTCATATACCACCTATTAAGTGAACTAAACCCTATAAAAATATCAATTTCTGAAGAAATGAGGATATATAAGGTCTCAAACCTCTTTAATAGTCATACAATGTCAGTGAATGATGCATCAATGCATCAAACAAAATTTTCACATTTTTTTAATTTATCTTGAAATATGTGGGTTAACCCCTACAAAAATATTGGTTTTTCCAATAAATACCATCTAAACTATTTAGGTTCTTTAGTGTTGTTTTAAAAATACCTAACCACATTCAAAATTTATAAATATGTGTGCTAAAGTTATTTTCATGGCAAATGGGCATCACTTCTAATTATAAAATGACTAAATTACTAAACTTCATATACCACCTAATAAATGGACTAGACCTTATAAAAATATCAATTTTTTGAAGAAATGGGAATATCTAAATTTTCAAACCTCATTAATATTCATATTGTGTCAGTTCATGATGCAACAATGCATTAAACTCGTTTTTATTATTATCTGAATATATTTTTAATTACGATTTAACATATGTCATAATCTTACACATATAATTGCCACATGTCACAATCGTGTTTATTATCTAAATTTATTTTTAATTAGATTTAACATATGTCACAATCTAACACATATAATTCCACATGTTACAATCGTGTTAATTAGCAAATTTTAGAAACCAAATTTTATATAATAAGAGACATCTTAATGGTGATCGTTAACATAGTTGATCAGTAAAACTAAGATTTTGATTTGTGGCCATTTGATTTGATGGAAGAAAAAAAATATACATTACAATGAAAATTTATATGGAAAACTAAAATATAATAAAATATGAGTTTTTACATGATGAAATGAAAGAAATAGCATGAAACTCATGCATCAGTAATTTAACAAAGATTTTAATCTAATTAGTCTATAACTGAAGAATAATAAATTTACCACAAGATGATCGCCTATAAAAAACATTTTAACTGGGTCAAATTTAGAATCATTTAAATGATATTTTCTGATCTCTTTTGGACACTGAAATAACAAAAAAAAAACCCAATTCAGTGTAAAAATAAAAGAAACTATTATCTTCTTGAATTGAATGTTAAATTTATTCAAATCAAAGTATTATGTTTACTTCAACTGCATCTTATTTTGAAAGTGTAAAGAAATAAAAATTGTTTGAACAACTGGCAAAAACATAATTTTGTAATTGGTCATGTTGCCGAAAATACTTAAATAAAATAATTAACTTTTGGACTAGCTGTAGATGTAATTTAGATACTAATATCAGCTTTTTCCGGCTTAACAAATTTACAAACGGCCGACAGAAAAGGAGTCATTCCGCGCGCTTTGATCATCACCGTTAGATTTACTCAAAGAGCTAATAGCCAACGGTCACGATCATCACACAATCTCTGAACATATATCTTTATTTCTAAAATCTTCACAGAAATTAAGGAAGCGTGAATGATAGGTCTTCTATAGTTTTTGACCATGGCGGATCTTATATTAGCTATATCCGCTCCTCCGTAGATACAACTAAACATTTCCATTAATAAATGTCTATAAGTACTGTCTAAATACTTTTTTTTGTTTCTTTGTTACGTTTTCTTGGCAGAGGAGGGAAAGAAGAAGGAGAGATAAGTTGGCATCATCATCGTCTCTCTTTCTTTCTTTCTCTTCTCTTTAAAGCATCATCTTCGTGTTTTCTTTTGTAAAATTCTGCTTAAAACGATGAATGTGATGCGTAGATTGACGAGTATGGCTTCTGGACGTAGTTTCGGCACCTCTAATAACGTAAGGATGTTTCCTTTTCAAGTAGTTTCGTGATTCGATGGTTTTTTTAAAGCCTTTTCTTGTTTTTTAGGTAGGAGAAGACGAGACGCCAAGATCGAAGAAGCCTAACAAAACTCGTGAAGATATAGAGTCTACGGAAACGGCTACGTACGAGAGAGGTTCTACTTGTTTAGGAGATGATAAGACACGAGAAGAATCTGTCTCTACGACAGAGAGTTCTCATTCATTACCAAAAGACATGGCAAGCGGTGTTGATGACAAGGTTTTATACATTTTTGTGGTGACTGACATTTTGATTTGGTGCTAATGAATAATGATGATGAATGATGTTCAACTTCTTCTTTTTTTTTGCTTGGGGTTTGATAGGATTTGGACAGTGGAATCATCAAAGGAAATGGGACAGAATCTGGTCGGATTATTACCACCACAAAGAAGGGTCTGAATGATCAAAGAGACAAGGTGACTTCAAACTTTTGCATGTAACATTTCTAAAATTGTTCCATGCACACAAACTCATCAGAAAACTATAGTTGTTCCATGGATCTTACGGGACCTGAGTTCGAATCCGCCTACACTTAGATTAACACAGCATGTGACCACCGGGACTTTCACATTCTCTCTTCGGGGAATGGTTTACCATTTTTTCTTGCTAGGAGAAAAAAAAAAGACATACTTATTATAATCTGTCATGAGCAAAAATGACCCCCAAAATTCTAGCAAAAAACTAAATATATAAGCTTTTAATTTGTAAAAAAAACAATTTATATAAATCTTTATTAACCTCCCAAACGGTCCTGCTAATTGATCACCAGACTAAAATTGTTTGTTTAATAAAATCTGTTTTTTTTTCTTGTTCAGACAATCTCGTACAAAGCTGAAAATGTAATTGGCACAGGCTCATTCGGTGTTGTCTTTCAGGTAAAACCACACAAAACTCTCTCAAGAGATTACTTGTTGTTTAAGAATGTGATTGATGCTCATTGTGTTTTTTTTTTAATGATTATAGGCTAAGTGCTTAGAGACAGAAGAACAAGTAGCAATCAAGAAAGTGTTACAAGACAAGAGATACAAAAACAGAGAGCTTCAGATAATGCGAATACTCGAGCATCCTAACGTCGTTGAGCTTAAGCATTCTTTCTTCTCCACCACTGACAAAGACGAGCTTTATCTTAACCTTGTTCTTGAGTATGTACCAGAGACTATATACCGTGCATCAAGATCTTACACCAAGATGAATCAGCAAATGCCCTTGATTTATATTCAGCTTTACACATATCAAGTAAACAAAACTTGTGATCTGACTCTTTGTGGAATCTCTTTATTCTCATTGTTAAGGTTCTTACAATCTTTTGTTGAAAAATCAGATTTTCCGCGCAGTGAACTATCTGCATCGAGCTGTTGGAGTGTGTCACCGTGACATTAAACCGCAAAATCTATTAGTAAGCATTTACAACAAGGTGTTCAAACAAGATGATTTTTCTTGAACGGTTTATATAAAACTGGTCTAAACGTTCAAAAAATCGGTTTAGGCACCTGCTTAATCAATAACTTCCTGTAAAATGCTTAATTACCATTTCTTGAACATTGTTTATAAGTAGTTCTTGAAAGCATTTATAGATATTTTTTTCTAATGATGATGCATTTGGCAGGTCAATAATGTTACACATGAGGTAAAGATATGCGACTTTGGGAGCGCGAAAATACTGGTAGGTTTCATAAACTCTAAATGTGTTTTGAGGTTCTTTAGATTTCACTGCCTGTTACAAGAAACATGAGTAGTGAGTGAGTGGTGTGTTCTTGGTTTCAGATTCCTGGAGAACCCAATATATCATACATATGCTCAAGGTATTACAGAGCTCCAGAACTCATCTTTGGAGCAACTGAGTACACAACCGCTATAGATATGTGGTCTGTAGGCTGTGTTATGGCTGAACTTTTTCTTGGACATGTAAGAAGTCTTTTTGTTATGTGTTCTTCTAACTTTTAGTTTTAGACATATTCTTTGAACATGTGTCTTGGCTTTTGATGTCTACAGCCTCTGTTCCCTGGAGAGACTAGTGTTGATCAATTGGTGGAGATAATTAAGGTAAAGAAACAGATTGTGTTTTTATGTTCTTTTCATGTTAGAGATTGTCAGAGTTGTAATCTGAAATTTTCTGTGTAAATAAGATTTTGGGGACACCATCTAGAGAAGAGATAAAGAACATGAACCCTCGTTACAATGATTTCAAGTTCCCTCAAATAAAACCTCAACCATGGCACAAGATTTTTAGGAGACAGGTGCCTCCTGAAGCATTGGATCTTGGCTCTAGACTCCTCCAGTATTCACCAAACTTGAGATGCTCAGCGGTAAGAGAGAACAATCCCCATTTGATTTCTGACTTAGTTTCTAGCATTACATCATTAAAATGGCTGCTTTTGTTTCAGCTTGAAGCATGTGCACACCCGTTCTTTGATGCTCTGAGAGACCCCAACACATCCTTGCCTAATGGAAGAGCACTTCCTCCATTGTTTGATTTCACAGCTCAAGGTTTTGACAACAACAACACTATGCTTTCTTGTGCTTTATCTTTCTCTTCTTGAACTTACCTCTCAGAAATGCAATTTACTTTCTTTGCAGAATTGGCTGGTGCATCTGTTGAATTGCGTCATCGTTTAATCCCTGAGCATGCAAGGAAATGACTTCTTCTTCTCTACACATGTTCTTGTTATGAACCAACACTGACCTCTGCAACCACTTGGAAAAGTAGTTTCGAAAGTGTATAATTTATAAGTTTGCAACTTTGTAGCTTCCACTGTTATATACAGAATTTTTCAAGTTTTCTTTACTATTCAAATGTTACCAATAGTCTCCACAAGAACAGTTTCCATCTCTAAAGTGATGAAAGCAGTTAGAATCTCTTAAGATGATATGCCTTAGATAAACTCTCGATATGTACTTCATAGCACTGTGGCAATCCCCACAGACACGGAGGTTCTTGATGATCCTAATCGGAGCTCCGGACGGTACAGCAAGTAAACCAAACGCTACAGCTAGTTTCTCACTATGGTAAGCCAAACCAAGCTCCTTCCCTTCTTTATCCAAGTCATGGAGTGCAAAACTCATATCCGGTATATAACCAGCTTCTTTAATCAAAAGCATCATCTCATCAACCTTTGAATAGATCTCAACCATTCTCGGATGCTTTCTATCTTCAGACATGAAGCTATGAACTATCCCTTTCCCTTCAACCCAACTGCAACCAGGCTCTTTATTTATATTACGAGTTTTCATCAACCTACGAACATTTGCAGCTTCCTCTTGTCTCCCTGCTGCAGAGTACATGTTTGATAACAGAACATAAGGAACAGCATTGTTTGGTTCCAGTTCCATGAGAGTTTTCGCTGCTCTTTCACCGTTTGCTATATTCCCATGCTTCCTACTTGCAGCTAAAATTGCTTTCCACACAGTTGCATCTGGTTCAACCTCCATTTGATTCAGCAACTCCTCTAATTTTCTAAAATCACCAGATCTACCGTATAGATCAATCATACATGCATAATGTTCAGGTCCTGGTGTGATTCTGTAAACTGTTCTCATTGAATCAAAGTAGTGTTCAGCTTCTTCTATGAGACCAGCATGACTGCAAGCAAATAGTAATCCAATAAAAGTAATGTAGTCAGGTGTTATGTGATTGTCTATCATCAACTTGTATGATTCCAGAGAGTCCTTAGCTTTGCCGTTCTTCGCGTAACCAACAATCAGAGCAGTCCATGTGATCAAATCTTTAATTTCCATAGAGTTGAAAACTGCATTGGCGTCTTCTAAACTTCCACACTTTGTGTACATTGTCACAAGAGAGTTATCTACGGACAAAGAGGCAGGGAAGCCGGATTTGATGTAGTTTCCATGTACCTGTTGCCCAAACTCGAGAAGAGTTAACTCCGCGGAGGCGCTTAGTACACTCGCTGTAACAATCTGATCAGGAGAAATGCCTCCTTCACCTCTCATCTTACAGAACAGCTTCAACGCTTCTTCATAAGATCCGTTGCCTGTGATAAGAGCCGTCCAAGAGATCACATCTTTCTCAACCATCCTTTCAAACACTTTCACCGCTGAATCCATGAGTCCTCTTTTAGCATACATATCCACAAGAGCATTGTTCACAAGCTTGTGAGTTCCATATCCAGTTTTCACAATCAAACAATGCACAGAAGAAGCTATCTTCATCTCTGAACTTCTAGAGGAAGCAAAACAGTTTAAAACAGAAGGAATTGTGAACTCGTCTATCTTCATATCTCTCTCATGCATTCTACCAAACAAAGACAGAGCTTCTTCTTTAAGACCTTCTCTAACACACTCAACAACCATCGAGTTCCAAGAAACCACATCATCAACTTCCATATCTTGCAACAAAGCTCTCGCAGTTTCCAAGTCTCTGCATTTAGCGTACATTGCAATCACCGCGCTCTGTACAAAGATATTACTCTTGAAACCACTCTTAACTATGCAGCCATGTACCTGAACTCCAACCCTGAGAGCAGAAACAGCACCACAAGCAGTTAAAACGCTAGGAAAGGTAAACTGATTAGACTCCTTTCCTTCTCTTCTCATATCCCTAAAACACTCTATCGCCTTGTAAGCAAACCCGTTTCTAGAGTAGCCAGTGAGCATTGAAGTCCAAGTAACGTTATTCCTCTCACCGTGCATCGTCTCAAAGAGATACTCAGCTTCAGAGATGCGTCTACATGTTGCATACATAGCGAGTAAACCATTAACCACATTAACATCCAAATCAAAACCAGTTTTCACTATACACCCATGAATCTGTTCACCTCTTAGAAGCAAACCAAGTGAAGCACACATCCTAAGAACACTACCTAAAGTGTACTCATTAAAGCTTCTTCCTTCAAACTGCATTTCCCAAAACAAGCTTAAAGCTTCATCTTCACTACCATACTTGCAATGACCGGAGATTAGAGCGTTCCAGGAGATTGTATTCTTCATTGGGTTTCTACGGAATAGCTTTTCCGCATCAGAGAGTCTCCCTGAAGTGGAGTAAGCGACGATCATTGTGTTCCAAGTAAACTCATCTCTCTCAGGCATTTTATCGAACAGTTGGCGGGCTTCATTGATCCGACCAGATTTGGATAAGTCTCCCAATTCCAGATTCGTCAAGTGAAGCTTTGTTCGAACAGCATTGGTGTAAATGTAATTACGATACGGTGTCGAAGTGAGACGACAGTTTCTGAAATTCAGTCTGAGCATCACTCTACTGATACAGTATCAAGTTCTGCTGAGTGATAAGTGATAACAACGAAAAGAGTTTTTTTTTAATATATATATATATATATATATATACTTTTTGGTAAAAATGTTAAATATTTTTTTTTTTTTTTAAAAGGGAAGATAAGAATGAATATAGTTTCACTGCAATCAACATGGATTAAATTATGAAGAAGTAAACAACAGTTTCATCCAGAAAATGATACAGTAATTTGTATATTTTATTTTGAAAAACATTTTATAAATTTATAGTTTCATCATATGCTATAAAAGTTGTTATGTATGTGATAAATTTATGTGTGATTATGGTTGATCTTGTATTTCGTTGTTTTTTTTTAACTTTGTTTCTTGTATTTCATTTTTTGTATTTAATTGTAAAAACTTATATATTTAATCTTGAATCGATGAATGGTTCATGGAGATGTTAAAAACAAATAATAAGGAACATATGTAAAAGTAAAAAGGCCGTTCTGAAAAAACATATTTAAAAGAATAATAGAAAAGAAAACATTAAAATAGTATATAAAGTTATTTTATTACTGTTATTTGCTCTAACCAAAGTTAAACCTATGAAACTCGGTTTCTTTTACAGTTTATTCAAATTAGTACATAAAGTTTTATTTAATTTTAATCCATCTACACATTGCATTTTGTTGCTAATACTGATAGTGATCGATGATAAAGTTCATAGTTTATAGTTTACGATATGATGTCAAATAATTGAAATCAGAAATCAAATTCGCATAAAGTTAGAAAAGAATTGCAATGTTCTCTCCTTCAATCCATTATTTTATTAAAATGTGTTTGATGATATTTTGTAGATCACAAATAGAAATCAAAATTTGCAATTATAACTGCAGAGGCAGCTTTTGGTCCCTACTACACACCTCCCTGTTCCATTCCTCTTTGAAGAACATTGAGCAGCACACTGATTATGTTCACAAATGCCAGTTTCTGTATAGTATTCATGGCAATCTTCTAGTCCTTGTGTTTCCTTCATCGTCATCCCTAATAATACATGTTTAATATTATGTTAATTTTTATCTGTTATAAAATTAATGCTAATGAACAAAAACTCATCAAATAAAAGAAAAATATGAGAAATATTTAAAATGTAAACATACCTAGAACAAGAACAATCATAAAGATAGCAAGAATTGTGGTTTTAGTCATTTTGATGATATGACAAAATGCAAATTTGAAAGTAAAAATAATAGATGTAAATGTGTATTGCACTCGTGAATGTTATATATACATAAGATACTAAAAGCAAATAAATAGGTTTACCAAAATATCATAGATGGTAAACAAAATGGACAGGAAAAAAAATCATCTAGTAATTAATTAGATGTTTGAACAGAAAAGTCATAGAAGAACAATATCTACAAAACAGTTAAAATGAAAACATACAAGAACATAATAAATCATAATTATTAATATGACTTGAACATGAATAAAATTTTAAAAAATTCAACATATATTAAACAGACTGAATAATCATAAAGATATGAACATAAAAATAATTATACAATTCACTTTTTTCAAAAAAAAAAAAAAAAGCTTTAAAATGATAGCTAATATTGATAGAATCCTACTTAGAGTAAGGTAGAATAATTATAAGTCAACATATCTATTGTCATTTGATTTTAAATTATTAGTAAATCATAAATTTTGATAGATATGGTCTAAAAATTTAGATTGTTGATTTAAGTAGGATGATCATCTCCTACTCTACTTCATATTTTATTCTAAAATAAAATGTAAAATAGAGTAATTGAAAAATAAAACTATTACTCCATAAATAGAATAATATTTTTTGTTTATCTTGGAAAAAAAATATGGAGTGATTTAAAGATACTCTAAATAGTTTAATTATCGTCATAACATGTAATTTGGTTTGAGTTGGACGTATAAAAGTGACCATCTCAAAAAAGTGTGTTGCTTCTGATTTATCAATACAATTAAAATTAGACAAATACACTTGGAAACGAATGTTATCAACCATAGAATTTAGCATAGTTTAGTTGTTTTTTAATTAACATGTGGTATCTTAGTTCCCTGGAAACGCTTAGACTATTCTGCAAAGAAAAATGCAGTTCACAAACAGACCTTTTTTTAGATATTGATCATAAATAAACAGTCTATATCTACGTGCCACATGATGAAATTTAGCATAGTTGACTGAGACTATACTAGGGCTGGGCAATCGGGGTCCCAATCGGGTTTCGGTTCGGGTTCATTCGGGTTTCGGGTTTTCGGGTTCATGAATTTTAGCCCCATTCGGATATTATAAAAATTTGGGTCGGATTCGGTTCGGGTTTAGTCGGTTCGGTTCGGGTTTAGTAACATGTCCAAGATCCGGTTGAACCCGAAATAGTTTCGGTTTCGGATACTAATCGGGTTATCGGTTCTAAAA